GGACTAATACAATATTTGTCCTTTTGTGATTGACTTATTTCACTCAGCATAATGTCCTCCAAGTTCATCCATGTTATGCGGTGTTTTGCAGATACTGCATTATTCTTTAGTGTTGCATAGTATTCCATTGTGTGTATGTACCATAGTTTGGTTATCCATTCTTCAGTTGATGGACATCTAGGTTGTTTCCATCTTTTAGCTATTGTAAATAGTGCTGCGATGAACATGGGTGTGCATATATCTGTTCTTGTAATGGCTCTCACTTCTTTAGGTGTTTGGTACAATTTTTGCAACTTTTGATTTTTAGTCTGTTTTTGTCTTTGTATCTAAGGTATGTCTCTTATACAGCATTTTGATGGATTGTGTTTTCTTATCCAGTCTGTAGCTCTCTGTCTCTTGAGTGGTGCATTTACTCCATTAACATTCAGTGTGACTATCGACACGTATGAGTTGGTTGCTGTCATTTTGATACGTGTTTTTTCGTGGTGTCCTTGGTTTCTTTGTTCCATATACTTTTCTGTGCTGAGCTCAGTATGTTTATGAATCGTGTTATCTTTCCTTTGTTGCTGTTTTTTTAGTACTTGCTGAATATTTGTTGTTGTCCTCTTTTATTGTGATGTGAAGGTTTATCGTTTTTGTTAGAGATTACTCTGTGATACATAATTTTCTCTCCAAGTTTAGAACAGTCCATTCTATCTTGTAACTCTCTTGACTTCCTCACCATTTAGAAATTCTGTAACTACACTCTTTTCCCCTGTTTTTGGTTTGTAGTTGTCCTCATTTGCTGTGGTTCCCTGTTTCCAATCTTTTAAGCGTATTTTAGTTTGGGTACATCCATAGTTGTGTTGGTTTCTGGGTTCTGTCATCTTGTGTACTAATGGTCAGTTTTTGTTTGCTATTTCTGGTTCTCTGTTCAAAGGACTCCCTTTACTATCTCTTGTAAGGTTGGTCTGGTTTTAACAAATTCCCTTAATTTCTGCTTATCTGGATATGTCCTAATTTCACCATTATATTTGAGGGACAGTTTTGCCCTCAAATTATATGCCAAGGTATATAATTCTTGGTTGTAAATTTTTCTCTTTAAAGGTTTTATATATACCATCCCATTGCCTTCTTGCTTACCTGGTTTCTGCTGAGAAATCAGAGCTTATTCTTATTGGTTGTCCTTTGTAAGTAACTTTTTGTTTTTCCCATGCTGCTTTCAGGATTCTTTCTTTGTCTTTGGTTTGGATGCGTTTGATGATGATATGTCTTAGTGATTTTCTTTTGGGGTGTATTCTGTTTGGGGTTCATTGAACTTCTTGAATGGATATATTCTTATCTTTCATCATATCAGGGAAATTCTCTTCCAACAAATCTTGGACAATTTTCTTAGTGGTTTTCTTTTTCTCTTCCTTTTCTGGAATTTCAGTTACACATAGGTTATTCCTTTTGATGGTATCCCACATGAACAACGTTTAAGTCAGTGTGTGTGTGTGTGTGTGTGTGTGTATATATATATGCGCATATATTATGTATTTATGTGTATTGTTCTGGTTACCTATTGCCGCTCTGACAAGGATATACCACAAATGGGATGGCCTTAACAAACAGGAGTTTATTCTCTTACAGTTCGGAGGTTAGAAATCCAAATTCAAAGTACCAGGCTCTAGGGGCTGGGTGAAAGCCCCTCAAGCCTTGGGCTTCAGCTCTGCCTCCTGCTCCTGGCTCACAGAAGCTAGAGACTTTTCTTCACTCAGACAGCTTCTGGCTGCTGAGGCTGCCAAGCCCAAGGTTGACAAGTAAAAAGGCACAGTCCCGGTGATAACAAACCACACGGCACCAAACCACACGGCAGGTGTGGTTCAAGTTCCATTGTAAGTCCCAAGGTCAGCAGAGCATGGCAGGCTGCTGAATAGTGACACAGCTAAATGTAGGGTCTAAGCGTGCCATAAGCTAGAGACCATTCCCCAAGGCTTCTGCTTATATACAAGAAGCAGACCACATTCCCTAAGACAGCTACTGTAGCTGCTCACAGTAGATTCCACCATGGAGTTGATTATCAGTCTTATCATGGAGAATACTACATCCAGCTGCCCAGCCATTCAACCAGCCCCAGCCAAGATGATACACAACTGAACTACCACATGTATATACACATATATATTTATTACATATATGCTTTTTATTTTTTTAACATGAGGCCCATAGATTTCATGATTCTCAAATAGAAACATAAAATCCAATTAAGAATTACTACTTTAGAGTAAGAAAATATTTATATCTTAGTTTGGCAGGTTTTAGTTATTATCTATATACTTATAAAGTACTTTTTGTTGTAATATGTAATTAACTCTCATTCGTACTGATTTTAAGAATGATTTTTGACATGCATGGAGTTGTGTGTAAAGAAGAATAAAGGATAGATTATTAAAATTAATGATTCCCCATGAGAGAATGGAAAGGTTGTGTATGCACAGGGAGACAGCTCAGGAGGCAGGAGTGCATGGGAGGAAAGGACACAGGGAAGAGGTAACTATGGGGAGGAAGTGAGAGGGAAGCTGTTGCATTGTGGGAAATTGCATTCAATGTCATGAGACAAACTGTATGTGAGCTGCTGAATGGAGAGTGAATTAGATCTGTAAACTTTCACCCAAATCAATAAAAATTAAATAAATGAATAAAAGATTAATAATTCTCAACAATTTCTCTAGCATATACTTGCAAAACATTTTCCATTATCTTCTTAGATACTGCACATACATTATTCAGGCACATACACACATACAATACCATTCCCTTATTCTACAAATAGACTAAGATATAAAGAGAATTGTAGCATGATAAGCATCAGAAATCAATAGCATGTTGCTTCTACTCATGTGTTTAAGTTAGTATTTCTTTTTAAATGATCAGACATTATGTTAGAAACATTACACTTTCCTTGTAGTGGAAAATAAATATGTATGTATGTATAAACATAAATATGGCACGATTGTCACAATTTGCATTTCATAAAGTTTGAAGCAAGGTGTAGCATCTGCTAAGTCAGGAGATAGATATAAGAAAAAGCCAAGCCACGGATGGTGAGATTTTGTGGCCAAATGTTAAAGCCACAGCATGATTGTGAGAGGGTTATAGAAAGGTAATCAGAATGATTCTCACCAGCAAGACTTTCATAATGCTTTATATCAGGTTAGTCAAATCCTTGTAAAATTCCTGAGTCTCAGCTTCAACCTACCTTATAACTAGGGTTGGTTTCTTTTGCTTAAGGCAGAAATGTCTTTAACAAGAAATTTGAAATATAGTTACTAACTTCCAACATGTATGCTTCAGGACATAGTAGGAATTCTGTTAATAATGTTCCAAAAGCTAACTATTAAGTATGGACAATTGTATAATCAGTCTGTTTTACCATATTCTAATCAAGATCATGCTTCAGCCTTTTAAAAAAAAAAAAAAAAACCAAAACAATAAAACCCTATTTATGAGGTCATCAAAATTGTATCTCATCGAAATTGTCCAGAGGCCTTTCTGCTAATGTTTAACATAAATCCTTCTTGCTACTGTTTAAATCCAAGCCCTGGTAGCACAGTGGTTGTGTTTGGCTGCTAACTGAAAGTGTGGTGGTTCAAACTCTAGCTGCTCCATTCGAATCAGAATCTAATAGTTTTTTTGTTGTTGTTTATTGTTTAAATCAGTCCCTGTTGTTTATGTATTCATGTAAATCACATTGATAAGTTTTATTTTGCTCTGGAAAAGGAGGTAGTGTAATGAGAAAGAGATTATCTACTGTGATAAGCAAAGAAGATAACTAAGGGGAGTACCCATTGCTGTTGAGTTCATAGGATTCAGAGAGATTGTATAGGTAGAACGGCCTATAGTGTTGCCAAGGCTATAATCTTTACAGAAGAAAACTGCCACATGTTTCTCCCATCATGTGGCTGGTGGATTTACTACCCAGTGAAGTTAGTAGCAGAGCACTTTAATCACTGCACCACCAGTGCTGGGGACCTTTGTTTACTGGCGTGGAGATTGATACCTTGGGAAAATGGCTAGTCATCGTATTCTTAGTACTCAAACCAAGCCCACTACCTTCTAGTCAACAGTAGAACTGCTTGTAGGGTTTCCAAGGCTGTAAATCTTTATAGAAACAGACTGCCTTATCTTTCTCCCATGGAGCGGCTTGTGGTTGGAACCACTGACCTTTCTGGTTAGCAGCTGAGCTTTCTAACCGCTGTGCAACCAAGTCTATTTTTAGTACAGGAGCAGTAATTAATTTACTCTGTTTTCTCAAAGTATAGTATATTTATAATCTAATTGAAAATTGGTGTTTTAAAAAAACCTGTTCTTTACCTTAAAATTATCTCTATTTATTAAAAACAATTAAAATTGAATACTTTTTTCAGTGCTAAACTTCTGAACTAAGTGATGGAAATAAACTCCATTTTCGAGCCTTTAAACTATCAGTGATCTGGCCACTTTCCTTCCAAAAAGTCCAGTTTTTAAAAATTGGCTGTTCAGTGAAGAAAATTTTGGAGTTGTCATCTGAGTGTATTTTTAAAGAATAAAGTTGCTTATTTCAGATTTATTTTAAGCCTGTCTCAGAAGAATTTACTCGACCTCTTCCATGTGATATTCTTATAGATTGTTGTTAATGTTGTTGTTATGTGCCAACTCATAGCGACCCCTCCTTGGGTTTCTGAGGCAGTATCACTACGGAAGTAGATTGCCCCATCTTCCTTCCAAGGAGTGGCTGGTGGGTTTGAACCGCTAGCCTTCTGGTTAGCAGTCAAGTGCCTTAGGCACTACACTACCAGAGCTCCCTCTTACAGATTAGAAGGAGAAAAAGAAGAGACAGACTAAAGTTGGTCCTTGTCTTTACTGTTCTTCACATATGTAAGTATATATATTTAAAAAAAAATCTATTTCTGAATTTTGTTTTATCATTTCAGATCATTGGAAAAAAAGCTGAACAAGAAGCATCAGATAAACTAGAAATTTCTAATGTGCCCTCTAGTATTGGACATACCCAAACTAATGGACCTCCTAGTCCTGATGAAGATAAAACCTTTCAGCCACTTGACAATATAAGAATGACTTCTAATAATGATATTGTTACACAGAACACATTCACCAAGACTTGCGATGGGATCAGCAGTCAGTCCTTGGCTTGTCAAAAGTCTGTGTACAGCACTCTTGAAAGCAAAGTTGATATTTTCCATGAAACAATGCAAGCAAAAACAGGGGCTGTGCAGGGTCTTATCCAACATAACAGCCCCACAAACAAAGAATGTCAGCCTTCATTGGAAAAAGATGATAATATGGGGTATGTAATGATTAATCTGGAACCAGTTACTCTCACTTTTGAAAACAATGCCTATGTACCAATACAGACAGAAGTAAATAGAGCTGATAAATCTACAGCCTTTAATATGGAATTGATTAAACAAGTATCATCTGGTACAACTCTTAGACATCCTGTGTCCACATATGAAAAGGCACAAACACAAGGTCTTAAGGACATTTCATCTCTAGCAATGTTAAGACAAAAAGGCAATAAGTACCTTTGTGCCTCCTCAGTAAGTAGAGAAACACTTAATAAAGAAATGTGTTCATTAAAGAAAGAGAGTCCTCTTCCAGTGTCGTCGTCATCGTTATCATCTGATAATTCAGTGGTAATGGAGGCAATATCATTAGTTAAAAGTTCTGGTTATTCATTACCCAGTGAAGAAATGAGACTCTCTCAAGACTTTGTTCTGCAAACTCAAAGTCTCTTCACTGTATCTTCAGAAGAGATTATAGAGCCAAAACAGTTTGAAGACATAGTTTCATCATCTGCCTCTAACAACCTGGAAAGAAATTATCCACTTAACTACATTTCATCAAGAAGTAATATATCAGATGGCTCCTTAGAATTAAGAAAGAATGGCAAAGATTGTCTAAACAGTGAAACTATAAATTTTGAAGCATTTAATTCAGCACTTACCAATGGGGAGGAGATCAGCCTAGAGTTAACGGAGGAAAATTCTGACATTGACCTCACTTTAACAATTTCACCACCTACAAGTCCCAGAGAACAAATTCCAGTTGATGAAATAGAGCCACTTGAAGAGGCCCCATTATCAAATTTAGAACTTCAGGATATAGCTGAAGAAATAATTGATCCAGGAGAGGTAACGATCATAGCAAACAGAGGAGTAAATTCTGCTGATTATACATCAGTGTCAGAAGAGCCATTAGAAGATAAGGAGAGAAAAGGTGATGATTTTCAGCCAGTTACTGTAGTGCTTTCTAAAGACAATTCCACCCTTGAGATTTCAGAGGAAGTTCATGTTACCTCAGAATTTCCCTTTGATTCTTTAATTGAAGAAGTGTCACCAGCTTCTAGTCCTGACCCCCTAGTACCAACTGAGGAAAAACGACAATTTCAGGTCATTTCTCCATGTAGTTTAAAACTTCATGATACACAGTGTCAGAAAAGTAACAAAGACTCCCAGATTGAATCAGTAGATTTAGCCATAACAGAAAAAAAAAATTGTTTGGTTGGTCCCACCCATCCAGTGGGACAAGATAACTTAACTTGGGTACAACAAATGCAATGTTATGCTGAAATGCCTCTCGTATTAAATAGTCATCTAGGAGGAAAAGATAGACATTTAACCCTTCCTGGTAAAGTAACTGAGGATATTGTCCAAAGTGAGCATGATGAGATTTTATCTTTCTCAGAAAAGGTACAGTGCTGTGATTTTAAATTAAACCAGCCTGCCTCAGCTGCCAAATATGGAGATGACTTCAAACCTTCTCTTGAAAACCTGATAAAATCAGGAAGTCCGTTACAACCAATTCATGTAGAAAACAGGAATTTGGACTTAGAACATCTTATCTTGGAGACCAGTGAACCTCCATTTAGTTCTAGAAAGATTACTGAAAATAAGTCTTTGGGTGACACATTTCTTTCTACAGCTGCTTCAGGTGATATAGTGAATGTGTCCTTAAAACAGCCAACTAGCCCTAAAAGCATTAAGAAAAATCTATTTAGCAATGATTTGAAAACAAATGGAGGTAATTATTTGCAGGTCAAGTCCTTGAACTCTGATTCAGAGGTCCCAAAATTTAGTTCTTCGTCAGATGATGCTACATTAACCCACTGTACAAGACCAATAAATGCACAGACAGGGTTTCAAACTGAGGAAATATCAGTAGTCAAAATGGCCAATTTGCTTAAGAATAGTGAAGCTAAAGCTGAGTTGTGTACAGAAACCATAGATCTAGGAGGTACTGACCTTCAGTCTAACACCACATCTTCTCCAAAAGGTGAACGAACAATCCATGTGCTGCAAGATGTGTCAGCATATGAAACAAAAGGTCTCTCGAATGGTGGATTCTTTGCCATGTATGCTGATTCTAACCAAAATACAGCAGACACCAGTGAAAATAACAGTGAAGAGCCTTCTGCTTCCTTTGTTCCAAAATCCTCTGATTCTCTTGTTTGTGGAGTCTCTAAAGAACATATGGAAAATGAGAACACTTACAAAGAGCTTGGGGCTGAGAATGGTTCTGAAATCTTGGATAGAGACATGGAGGTTGGTGTGAATTCTGACATACATTATGAACCACTTTCTGGAGACTCTGATCAAGACTTTCTTGTTGATTGTAGAAATCCCAAATTAGACATAAAGGATTTTTGTACCTTGAGATGTAGTTACAACAGGAGAAAAGATGCTACTAAAGATGGTTATGACTCTTTCATGAACATAAACAATAGTGGTAATGAAGAATGGGGCTACTCTTACAAACTGCCAGGCTTGGAGACGAGACTTCCTCCCAGAAACTGGTCCAGTGGATTAAAGAAGGAAGATAAATGTGTGCCATGTTACATACAAATAAGAGATCTCCGTGGTATCCCCAGGACTTATGCTAACTTTACTGTAACTAAGGAGCTCAAAGATACCACAAGAACTTTGCACAGATTGAGGAGACACCCCAGTTTCACTGCAAAATGTGGCTTGATCAGCTCCTGGACAAGTACTTGGCAGATAGCAGATGACCTCACCCAGAACACTTTAGATGTAGAATATCTGCGCTTTGCATATAAATTAAAACAACTTGTAAAGAACGGGGACTCTCAGCATTCTACCTGTTTTGCCAACGCCTTTGCGAAGGAGGCACCTATTCAAATAGCTGTTGGAGCTTTCCCTTTGACAAAAATATCTGAGTCCCCTGTTACACATTCTGCGCCCAGGAGCAGCTCCCTTCTGGTAACAGTTGTGCACTCAGACCCTAGGCGACAGAATCAGCACACGAGAAGCCACGTGCTGAGTGATTTGGACAGTTCTTCCTCATTTTGGAAGGAAAGACGTAGCCACAGTAGACATCATCTTCCAAATTCTGAAGAAAATCAGACTGTTTCATTGCACCTCAACAAATTGAAATATAACAGCAGCACTTTGAAAGAATCTCGGAATGATATCTCACTTATTCTTAATGAATATGCTGAATTCAACAAGGTGATGATGAATAGCAACCAAGGAGTTTTCCAAGATAAAGAGTTAAATGTTACTTCTGAAGATGCCACATCTCAAGAGATGTATTCATCTCTCCCGAGAAGGTCAGCCTCCTATGAAGACATGATTACAGACTTGTGTACCAGTTTACATGTCAAACTAAAAAGTGTTATGAAAGAGGCTTGTAAAAATACCTTCCTGTTCTACCTTGTTGAGACAGAAGACAAGTCATTCTTTGTAAGAATAAAGGTAAAGTGCCAAATTTTTCTGATAGTTTATAGTATTTTAATTGACTTCTAATTTTAGTTCATTTTAGAAGTAATAAATTTCACATTCTTGGCTTCAAAAGAAATCATGGAAATGAGGTGGCAGTTCTACTTCATACATATTAAATTTCACAGCTCAGTTTCTATCTGTGTATTAAATGTTATGCTACAAGGATTTGCCATTGGTACTATATTTAAAAATTTGTATTATGTTCCAGAATTAGGAATCAGAATTTCTCTGCTGAGTGACTAATTCTCAATTACCTGTGTAGACATACCCAGATTCTAACATAAACACAAATATAGAGATTTTTTTTTTAATTACTATTACCTGTGTTCCTATCTCAGTGCAAATAGTTGAGAGGACCCCTTTTGAATTTTTAAAGTTAGAATATTAGGATAACTGATGTGCTAGTGAATACATTGTCCTTACATGCTGTAACCATGCTGAAATTTTGACTTGAGAAGAGCTGACTTAACTCACTATTAGTTTTCTCATTTTATCCTCTCAGAATTCATGTTCCCTTCTATTTTGGAAATAGACTGTTTCATGATAGTATTTTTAAAGTGGCCATTATTTACAATAGAAAATGACAAATTTTGTACAAAGTAAAACTAATCTTCAAGTGAGAAAGTAGACACAGTATAAAATAAGCTTGAGAATAAAGTACTCTGAAGATCAAACTGTTTTTGAAAGGTCATAAAGATATCCCTAATGGTAATTATTCTGTCCTAGAGAATCAGGAAGCATTAATGAGCTGTGGGTTGTTAGGTAATTAATAGCTCTTTCAGGCCTCTGCTTCTTTATGCATAAGATGGGGAGGATCTACAAGGTCCTTTATTACTATTGAAATTCTGAATGCATGGATAAAATAGCCCAGAGCTCCACAAGGTTTGATGAGCATGTTGAACATAATCAGAACATTTATTCATTCCAATAGTTTATTAGTAAATTACATGAGAGCTAAAGATTTACTATTTAGATTTTTTAATAGGCTCTGTAAAAATAAATCTTGTTTATAATAATTTGCTCGAAAATTGTGCCATACATTTTGAGTGATTAATTAAAACCGTCAAAGTTTGAGTTATTTTGAAATCCAAGGGAAACTGATCGAGGCAACACTTTATAAAAGAAAATAGAAGGTGATGGTTAGACACAGTGGTTTTGGTATAAGAAACAAAACATCAGGGTATGCTGTGAAAACCTCCAGAATCAAGACAGAAAACTTGTCAAAAATCACAAGAGAAGGTAGGGTTGAGGGTTTTTTGTTTTTTTTTTAATTATTATTTATTGTGATTTGGGTGAAGATTTACAGAGCAAATTCGCTTTCCATACTGTAGTTCACATATACTTTGTCGCATGTCATTGACCACAGTTTACCACAATGCAACAGCTCCCCTCACACTTCCTCCCCATAGTTACCTCTTCCCAGTGTCCATCCCTCCATACTCTCCTGCGCCCTGAGCTGTCTCCCTGTGCATAAGCAGCCCTTCCT